TGTGTGTGTGTGTGTGTGTGTGTGTGTGTGTGTGTGTGTGTGTGTGTACCGATCTGCTGTAGGCAGCGACGGGCGACTCTCTCCGGAAGAATCCGGCGACTGCGGATAAATCGGGACAAATCTCCTCCTGAACACCACTCCAGAATCAGATATATGTTCTCGCTGTCCCACTGACAGACAGACAGAGAGATGAGGATTTGGCATTAAGATGTAATAGGGTAAGATGGGGTAAGATGAGCCGCCCTCTTTCATTTTTCTCTTGATGGCACAAAAGCTCATCTCAGCACTTTTGGTGAACGGCTACCCTGTTTCCATTTTTGTCATTCATCTGAATATCATTTGAAATATTTATTCAGTCAAAACAGTTTTGAGGTTAATTGATCTAATTGTGTGTCTCTGGAAAATACTGACCTATGACATGATGTATTATGTTGATTATCAAAGTTTCGTGTCTATTTGGATTCTTGGACACATCAGTGCTTTTGGATTTGTGGAGTGAAAGTTTTTTTCTGCTTTGACCATCATTGGTTATTCAATTATTCAGCTAAATTGTCAAAATACAATTTTAAATAAAAAAGTTAATGTAGTATTTTACATTAATGTAATTACATTAATAAATTACATTTACGACAGCATGTTACATTAATTACACTATGCAAATGTTACAATTAATGTGTAACATTAACATGTTACATTTATGACGTTACGTTAGTGACACTGTAAATATGTTACAATTAATGTGTTACAACAATATGTTACATTTATGACGTTTCATTAGTGACACTATGTTACAATTAATGTGTTACATTTATAACAACATGTTACATTAGTGACACTGTAAATGTGTTACAACTAATATGTAACAACAATGTTACATTTGACAATGTTACATTAGTGACACGAAATATGTTACAATTAATGTGTTTCATTAACATGTTACATTTATGACGCTTCATTAGTGACACTGTATGTTACAATTGTGTTACATTTATAACAACATGTTACGTTAGTGACACTGTAAATGTTACAACTAATGTGTTACATTAACAATGTTACATTTATGACACTATGTAAATATGTTACAGCTCAAAAGTAAATCCACATTGTTCTTAAGGAAGGCATGCAGTGTAAGACTAAATGCTGGGAATCTAGTACCTGGAAGTCTTTGAGCTGCACTATGTGAGGATGCCGGACTGTTTTGAGGATCTCAATCTCTGTCAGCAGGTTCTCCATTGAGCTTTTATTCAGACTTTTCTTACTGACCACCTTCACAGCCACCGCCTCCCTGTCCCTGCTGTCCGTCTGAAACCAACCAAAACATGCACATGATCAATAAAACAAACAATCAATCAAATAACTCATAACCATTCAAGTAAAACAATAACGTGACTGATCAACAGTCTCACTGAAGCATGTCAAATATGCTTCTGTTAATTACAGATAATAATCAATAATCACTCGCCTTTCTGAAAGCTTTATAAACGGTCGCATACGTGCCGCTTCCCAGTTTCTCAGTCAGAATAAAGTCTCTGAGCTTCGGAGGAGCGAAACCCGCAGCCATCCTGAACTCAATCAATCAATAACCAATCAATAATCAATAACATTTACAGCATAACCGCTTTCCCTCTGCCCCAATCACAGTCATTCAACCGCGGGCTGCTGCCTTTAGGAATGACAACCATATATTATTTAATACATGGTCAGATGATCGTAAACATTTCATAAACGTGTTTACATATGTTTACTTCCGCGCAGTGACGTCACCGCCGCTGTCACGCACCGGAATCTAGCGCGCGCACGTCCCCTGCCGGCCAGACCGAGTACTGCAGCTCCGAGAACTGTATTAATAAGCATGATGTCGATTAATCCATACACATGTATTGTTTTGTTTGCAAGAGAGAAAGGACTATAAATGACTCTGAAGTGTATTTGTGTTTTATACTTATGTACAATTATCTCCAATAAGACACAGATATGAAGGTTAAGTTTTTATAAAGCAAACAAAGTCCTGTAAAATGAAGACAACATGCAATAAATGCCCAAATTAAACCGATTTAATTTTTAATTTAATTTAATTTACTTTTCAGAGAGTAATGTGCATTGCTAAGAACAACTTTAAAGATGATTTTCTCAATATTTAGATTTTTTTGCACCCTCAGATTCCAGATTTTCAGATATTGTGCTCTCCTAACCAACCATACAGCAATGGAAAGATTATTAACTGTGTTAATGTATAATGTAAATGTAAATATAATTGTGAGCCATACAATGTATTGTTGGCTATTGCTACAAATATCCCCCAGCGACTTAACACTGCTTTTGTGCTGCAGAGACACATTAAATAATACTAAAGTAACACTGATTCCATGTTAGTCTGTGTTTTAATACTTAAACAATTTAGTTTTTATTACCATTTATAGTTGTCTCTTAACCTTAAGTCACAGTAGCCTACCTGTGAAAAGTTTGTAAACATTGTGATTTTTTTATGTTTTTGAAAGAATCTCTTCTTCATTTATTTGATCAAAAATACAGTAAAATGTGAAATATTTTTACTATTTAAAATATCTGTCTTCTATGTGAATATGTGTTAAACTGTAATTTATATCTGTGATCAAAGCTGTATTTTCAGCATCATAACACCAGTCTTCAGTGTCACGTGATCTTCAGAAATCTATAATATTCTGATCTGCTGCTCGAGAAACATTTCTGATTATTATTTTATTGTCACAAAATTATTAAATATAAAAATATATATAAAACAAGAAATTCAACAACCTGATTAATGGCAGAAAATTCAACCCTGTTTCTGAACACTGCCTGAAATATTGTTTACATCTACAGCATGTGTGTGTGAACTCTATTGCTTCATATGTTTATTGTTACACTTTTATCAAGAAGCTAAGCTCATTTCAAAGAAAGTTTGGGCGTAATTGTCTTTCTCTCGTTAAAGCGAAGCACTTTTATTTTGAATTATCAGCCGGTGGGACTTTTACGTAACCGGAAGCCGGAAGTTGAGTCCGTCGGAGTCCACTCGGATGCTAGCGAACGGGTTTCTGAACGCGAACGGAACACAATGAGCTCGTATTTGATGCTGTTTCTGCTGCTGCTGGACATTTACTCCAAATGTGTGATCGGTAAGAGCTCGTGTCATCGTTATCTGGACTCTGTTACCGTGGAAGTACCGTGTGTGTTTGTTTTACAGTGAATTCATTTATCACGGTTTTATTTGCGTTACACGCGTACCGTGTGAATACTAGGATATATGCGGATGGGAACCGCACTTACCACAATATACCGTGATATTCCACGATATATATGCGAAGTATCGTGGTAGCGCTGTAGTGGCGTGGTGAAACTGCAGTATTGTGTTGTCAGACCGGCTGTTGTTTACAGCTCTAGCAGTATCGATCTTTAAAACACTTGTATTTCAAGCATGAATAATATCGTTTATATCATGTGATCAGCTGGGATCAATAATCAAAATTAAAAAAATAATAAAAACCTGTTTCCCCCATTCAGTGAGACTACACAACAATAAGTACATCATTATTCAAAAGTGTTCAAAAACATTCAAAAAATGTTACTACTGCAATAATACCATTGTACTGTCAAATAAAAATAAGTATTTAATAACTAATTATTCAAAAAATGTTATTTAACAAATTAAGCATATATATATAACGATTGCAAAATGCCATTGTACTGTAAAATAAAAATGAATATTTGATAAGAATGATTATAATTATTATTATTCAAAATATTTTGTTTCATTGTTATTAACAAATTAAACAAATCAATAAATATAGCACTATTGCAATAATGCTATTGTACTGTAACATATAAATTAGTATTTAATAACAATAATTATTATTATTATTATTGAATTACAATTATATGGACTTTTATTGAAGCACAGCTTTGCTTTAATTATATTGAGTTATGCTGGATTACATATTGAATGAGGAGAAACAGGTTTTCCTCTTGTTTTGTCTTTAGCTGATCACTTATACAGTCAGATGATGTGTGTGTGTGTGTGTCTCTCTCTCTCTGTGTGTGTGTGTCTCTCTGTGTGTGTGTAACTGTCCCAGATAAGGGTATGAATACTTGCGCAATGGAATCATTTAAGTGTTTTACCGTATTTATAATAAAATTGCCAAGATGTAAACTAGTTTTTTGCTCTACCATTATGGTGTATGGAGTTTAGATTGATGTGGGGAAAAAAAATAATTTAAAGCAGTTTAGCATAAGGCAGCAATATAACAAAACGTGAGAAAAAATTAATACTTTTGTGTGTGTGTGTGTCTGTCTGTGTGTGTGTGTGTGTGTGTGTGTGTCTGTCTCTCAGCGTATCTGAGCTCTCCTCACGTGGGTCAGGAGCCGGTGTACACAGCGCAGCAGAGCCCGGTGATGAGCAGCTCGGTGGCCCTGACCGCTTCCTCCAGTGAGTGACCCTCCACATGTAAATGTCTTGTATTAGCAACACCTCACAACTTGAAAAAACAACAACTTCCTATAGATCTCACACACACACACAAAGCTATTCATAAATCAAGATACAGTGCCTTGCGAAAGTATTAATTTTTTTCATGTTTTGTTATGTTGCTGCCTTATGTTAAACTGGTTTAGATTACTTTTTTCCCACATCAGTCTACACTCCATACACCAAACTGACAAAGCAAAAACAGAATTGTCACAACTTTGTAAATGTATTAAAAATAAAAAAACTTAAATAAGTACCCTGTCCCTCAGTCCCTGCTGCTGAAAAACAGCCCACAGCATGAGGCTGCTGCCAGCACACTTTACTTTAGAGATGCTACTCTGCAGATGATGAGCAGAGCTGCTTTCCTTCAAACATGATGCTTGGAATTGAGGTTCATCTGACCAGAGACTCTTGTTTCTCACAGTCTGAGGGTCCTTTAGCTGCTTTTTTGTAAATTCCAAGTGTGTTTTCATGTGTCTTAAGTGAAGAGAGGATTGAGTTTGGCCACACCGCCATAAAGCCCAGATCGGTGGAGTGTTGCAGTGATGTTTGTCCTTCTGTAGATTTCTCCTATCTCCACATATGATCATGTAGCTCAACTAGAGTGACCATCAGCTTCTTGGTCACCAGTCTAAACAAAGCCCTTCTCCATCAGTTGCTCAGTTTGGCCAGGAGGCCAGCTCTGGGAAGAGTCCTGGTTGTTTCAAACGTCTTCCATTAAGAGTAACAGAGACTACATGCTTCTGTGAACCTTCAATGAAGCAGAATTATTTCTGAACTCTTCTCCAGATGTGTGGCTTGACACAAAGCTGTTTCTGAGCTCTACAGGCAGTTCTTTTGACCTCAGGGCTTGGTTTTTGCTCTGATATGCATTATCAGCTGTTAGACCTTTAATTAAGACGTGTGTGCCTTTCCAGATCATACTCATTCAATTGGATTTGCCACAGGTTAACTTCACTCGAAGTGTAGTGACATCTACAAGCAATATGAATGCTCCTGAGCTAAATCTCAACTGTCCCAGATAAGGGTATGAATACTTATGCAATGGAATCATTTTATTTTTTTTATTTTTTAATAAATATGCAAAGATGTTAAAAACCAGTTTTTTTGCTTTACCATTATGGAGTATGGAGTGTAGATTTTTGTGGGGAAAAACTAATTTAAAGCAGTTTAACATATAAGGCAGGAACAAAACAAAATGTGAAAAAATTGAAGGGGTATGAATACATTGGCAAGGCACTGTAGATATAAGATGAGAATATCAGTCGAGTGTTGTAATAAATCCTTCTGTGAGATGTGGCTTCTTACACAGAATAAGGCACGCAACATATTTCATAGTATTTAAGCAATGATAAAGTCATTGCATTACTATATACTTTATTATAATGAAAATTGTAATAAAGGAACTCAGATAAACCATATATTGTCGTGACTGTCCTGTGTTTATTAGTCACGTTTAGTCAATGAAAGCAGTTAAATCTTGTTTATTCAGCGGCCGCTATTATCTGGGTTTCTTCTGAGTTTCTCTGTGTGTGTGTGTGTGTGTGTGTTCAGCTGCTCCAGTGGTGACTGATAGCTACCTGTCCAGGTGTCCCAGCGGCGCTCTGTGCTCCAGACTCCCAGCCGACTGCATCATCTGCGCATTTCATCACAACTGCAGCTACGGCCGGCCAGCCAACTTCACCTGCAGTGCTAAAGCAGGCGTTCACTGTGTGGTGAGACTCTCAGAAAACCACAGCGTGTCCAGTTTGACTTGTTCATTCCTAGGGATGGGACAATAAATCGATGCATCGCGTTTCGTGGATCGATTCTGAGATTTTCGGAATGCATTCTGATTCTCTCTCGAATCAATTCTGAGCTTAGTTTCTAACAGCAGAGGGCGCTCTAGGTTAGTTTCTAACAGCAGAGGGCGCTCTAGGCTCGTTTCTAACAGCAGAGGGCGCTCTAGGTTAGTTTCTAACAGCAGAGGGCGCTCTAGGCTCGTTTCTAACAGCAGAGGGCGCTCTAGGTTAGTTTCTAACAGCAGAGGGCGCTCTAGGCTCGTTTCTAACAGCAGAGGGCGCTCTAGGTTAGTTTCTAACAGCAGAGGGCGCTCTAGGCTCGTTTCTAACAGCAGAGGGCGCTCTAGGTTAGTTTCTAACAGCAGAGGGCGCTCTAGGCTAGTTTCTGACAGCAGATGACAGCAGATGATGCTCTAGGCTAGTTTCTAACAGCAGAGGGCGCTCTAGGTTAGTTTCTAACAGCAGAGGGCGCTCTAGGCTAGTTTCTAACAGCAGATGACGCTCTAGGCTAGTTTTTAACAGCAGATGGCGCTCTAGGCTCGTTTTTAACAGCAGATGACGCTTACAGCAGATGGCGCTCTAGGCTAGTTTTTAACAGCAGATGGCGCTCTAGGCTCGTTTTTAACAGCAGATGACGCTTACAGCAGATGGCGCTCTAGGCTAGTTTTTAACAGCAGATGGCGCTCTAGGCTCGTTTTTAACAGCAGATGACGCTTACAGCAGATGGCGCTCTAGGCTAGTTTTTAACAGCAGATGGCGCTCTAGGCTCGTTTTTAACAGCAGATGACGCTTACAGCAGATGGCGCTCTAGGCTAGTTTTTAACAGCAGATGGCGCTCTAGGCTCGTTTTTAACAGCAGATGACGCTTACAGCAGATGGCGCTCTAGGCTAGTTTTTAACAGCAGATGGCGCTCTAGGCTCGTTTTTAACAGCAGATGACGCTTACAGCAGATGGCGCTCTAGGCTAGTTTTTAACAGCAGATGGCGCTCTAGGCTCGTTTTTAACAGCAGATGACGCTTACAGCAGATGGCGCTCTAGGCTAGTTTTTAACAGCAGATGGCGCTCTAGGCTCGTTTTTAACAGCAGATGACGCTTACAGCAGATGGCGCTCTAGGCTAGTTTTTAACAGCAGATGGCGCTCTAGGCTCGTTTTTAACAGCAGATGACGCTTACAGCAGATGGCGCTCTAGGCTAGTTTTTAACAGCAGATGGCGCTCTAGGCTCGTTTTTAACAGCAGATGACGCTTACAGCAGATGGCGCTCTAGGCTAGTTTTTAACAGCAGATGGCGCTCTAGGCTCGTTTTTAACAGCAGATGACGCTTACAGCAGATGGCGCTCTAGGCTAGTTTTTAACAGCAGATGGCGCTCTAGGCTCGTTTTTAACAGCAGATGACGCTTACAGCAGATGGCGCTCTAGGCTAGTTTTTAACAGCAGATGGCGCTCTAGGCTCGTTTTTAACAGCAGATGACGCTTACAGCAGATGGCGCTCTAGGCTAGTTTTTAACAGCAGATGGCGCTCTAGGCTCGTTTTTAACAGCAGATGACGCTTACAGCAGATGGCGCTCTAGGCTAGTTTTTAACAGCAGATGGCGCTCTAGGCTCGTTTTTAACAGCAGATGACGCTTACAGCAGATGGCGCTCTAGGCTAGTTTTTAACAGCAGATGGCGCTCTAGGCTCGTTTTTAACAGCAGATGACGCTTACAGCAGATGGCGCTCTAGGCTAGTTTTTAACAGCAGATGGCGCTCTAGGCTCGTTTTTAACAGCAGATGACGCTTACAGCAGATGGCGCTCTAGGCTAGTTTTTAACAGCAGATGGCGCTCTAGGCTCGTTTTTAACAGCAGATGACGCTTACAGCAGATGGCGCTCTAGGCTAGTTTTTAACAGCAGATGGCGCTCTAGGCTCGTTTTTAACAGCAGATGACGCTTACAGCAGATGGCGCTCTAGGCTAGTTTTTAACAGCAGATGGCGCTCTAGGCTCGTTTTTAACAGCAGATGACGCTTACAGCAGATGGCGCTCTAGGCTAGTTTTTAACAGCAGATGGCGCTCTAGGCTCGTTTTTAACAGCAGATGACGCTTACAGCAGATGGCGCTCTAGGCTAGTTTTTAACAGCAGATGGCGCTCTAGGCTCGTTTTTAACAGCAGATGACGCTTACAGCAGATGGCGCTCTAGGCTAGTTTTTAACAGCAGATGACGCTCTAGGCTCGTTTTTAACCGCACACTCAAATGCTCATGAAGAAGAGCGTTCGGCTGAGTAATGTAAATGGTTAAATGTACTTGCACATCGGCTTTTATGCTTGCCGCAAGATTAATTTAAACACAGCCCACTGTGAACACTCTTGTAATTCGCTTCAACCTTTTCCGAACTTTATGAATGATTATTTTAGGTTCAAATGGTGCGGACGCAAGCAGAATACGGCCGTTTCTGAAGCACGTAGCGCCGTCTGCTGTTAAAAACTAAGCTCAGAATCGATTCAAGAGAGAATCACGATGCATTCCTAAAATCTCAGAATCAATGCAGAATCATTTCTCGATTCGCGATGCATCGATTTATTATCGCAGCCCTATTAATTCCTCTGCGTGCGTTCATAGAGTACAGTGTCGTACAGTTCTAGGGCCCTATGAAATCCGTTTTATTTTTTCCCAAATTCTGTTTATTTTTTTATTAAATTTTTACACTCGTATAAAATGTATTACCTCACTTACAAAATGAAAAAAAGTAAATCCGTTTTTTTTTGTTTTTTTTCCTCCATTTTAATTTTTCTGGATTCGTTTTTTTCCTTTTTAAATGGTTAAATTAAATTGTATTAATCGAAAAGTATGTCTAATTGATTACAATCAAGTTCACATCAATTTATTAAAAGTTTTACAAAAATGGCATGTTTAGTGCCCTATGAAATTTTATTTAATTTTTTTCTCACCATGTTTTATTGTTACCAAATTCTGTTTTAACATGTCTAATTATTTGAATGCATAAAAACAACTTAATTTATTCAAACTGATTCTTACAATCGCCTTATTAATTTTTAACAACGCCCCTTAGCTGTAAACCACGGCTTCTTGGGGCTTATTGCTTTATTATTTATTCATTTTTTATTTTTTACAAACAACAGGGATTTACTATTAAACGTAAAACATGGAAGAAATGTGTTGTGATTATTCCTTAAATAATGTTTTCATAATTTTAGTAGTACGTTCTACTGAACAATAGTAGGCTAATATATTTGTGGCATGTTTCCGTCCACCTATTTTTATGTGCATTTTGGAATATCGCATAAAAAAATGCTGGATGGAAACGCCAAGATGCGCATAAATTCTAAAAATGAGCATAAAAAAACTTTTTATCCGATAAGAAAAAATGAGCATAAACTATGATGGAAACGCATTTCTATTTCATAATTATTTCTATATTAACTGAAAAAGGTGCAGACTGAAAGCTGAGCTTATTTCAATGACCCTTCGTTATAATAAACGTCACTTAATTACTCTATACGAAACATACAAAGACAAAACAATTACTTCAGACAGACCTTTATACTGTACGTTACTGAAAATGACATTTTCATAAATTAATACAATTTCAGTGATATTTTAGTATTGTCATTGTTTTATATTTTCTACTTTTATGGTCATTTTAATTAGTTTTAGTGATTTTGTTGTTGTTTTTGTCATTTTCATTAGTTTTTGTTGTTTTTAAATGTCTATGTTTTATATTAATCATTTTATTTGTTATTTTAGTACATAAAGGTAAACTAAACTAAAATGATAAATGCTGCCTTGTAGCTTAAAGTAAGTTTAAGTTTTTATTTCAATTAACATTTATTTCAAGTAATGGTAATTTTTGTATGGTTTTAGTTTTATTTAACAATAATAACCTTGAATTGCAGTAAATATTCAATATACAAATTATTCATTTGGAGTTATACATTTTGTTGTGTGTATATTTTGTCATTTTTATTCGTTTCTGTTGTTTTTAAATATGTATATGTAGTTTTTAGTTATTTTGGTACATTAAAATAAACTAAATGAAAATGAGAAATGTTGCCATGGCAACTAACTGAAATAAATATATTGTTAACATTTATTTTAATTCAAGTAATGATTTTTTTTATTATTGTTTTAGTTTGAGTTGACTATAATAACCCCGAATTCCTCTCCACAGTTATTCTACACTTTCACTCTTTTGATGGATATCTGTTATTTATATTTGTTATTTTATATTATCTGTGCAATTATGAAATCAACAAGATCACCACATTTCAAAGCATTTGGATTTGGTAAATAGTCTGTTGGTTGTTTCATAATAAGAAAGGGAAATAAAGAGCTCAGATGCTAGATGCATTAGTCAGGATCATGTTTTCCAGTCTGTTGTTCTCTGTGTGTGTTTCAGAGCGAGCAGAGTCGGCCGCAGCAGAACTTCACGCTGACGCTGGACTGTCGCTTCTGTTGGCAGCTGGATCCGTCACAGTACCGCTGCTCGAACTCCACCGGCTGCATGACGGTGTCCTGTCCACGCAGACTCTATAACGCTACCTGCGAAGCTCTGGAGCATGTGCACTGCCTCGGTACACACTCACACACACACTCACTCGGTACACACACACACTCGCTCTTACACACACACACTCACACACTCACTCGGTACACACACACACTCGCACACACTCACTCTTACACACACACATCGCACACACTCACACTTACACACTCACTCGGTACACGCACACACTCGCACACACACACACTCGCACACACTCACTCTTACACACTCACACACTCACTCGGTACACACACACACTCACACTTACACACTCACTCGGTACATACCCACACTCGCACACACACACGCACTCACTCACACTCACACACACACTCACACTTACACACTCACTCGGTACATACCCACACTCGCACACACACACGCACTCACTCACACTCACACACACACTCACACTTACACACTCACTCGGTACATACCCACACTCGCACACACACACGCACTCACTCACACTCACACACACACTCACACTTACACACTCACTCGGTACATACCCACACTCGCACACACACACGCACTCACTCACACTCACACACACACTCACACTTACACACTCACTCGGTACATACCCACACTCGCACACACACACGCACTCACTCACACTCACACACACACTCACACTTACACACTCACTCGGTACATACCCACACTCGCACACACTCACTCGGTACACACACACACTCGCACACACACACTCGCACACACACACGCACTCACTCTTACACACTCACACTCACACACTCACTCGGTACATACACACACTCGCACACACTCACTCTTACACACTCACACACTCACTCGGTACATGCACACACTCACTCTTACACACACACACTCACACACTCACTCGGTACACACACACACTCGCACACACTCACTCTTACACACACACATCGCACACACTCACTCTTGCACACACTCACTCTTACACACACACACTCACTCTTACACACTCACACACACTCACTCGGTACACACTCGCACACACTCACTCGGTACACACACACACTCGCACACACTCACTCG